GAGGGACTTTGTTGTTGCAACCCTAGCAGACCAATACAGTAGGGGTGAAATCTGGAGAGAGATTGAAAAAGAAGAGTCCTCCAGCAAAAAAGAATACCATAAATAAAGAGGTCAAAATGAGGACTGGCCTAGATGAGGAATAAATTTTTTGTTTTGCAACAGAGATTTATAGTAGTGAACAGTGCATACAGCTCCCATTGTAATTAATAAGATTCTCTTTTTTCAGTATTGTATCTTAATAGCAATAAAACTCTCAACCTTTACACCTCTAACCAAAATTTACTTTCTCACAGATGTTCCCCTCTCTTCCAAAACAGCATTTTCCATCCCAAGCCACTCTCAAATCAAACCCTTTCCCCTGCTGTGCTTTCTTCATAGCACTAAGTCTGAAATTATAAAATTTCTTTTTAACTTGGTGATTGCATGTCTCCCCACACTAGAACGAGAGTTCAACAAGACCAGGGATTGACCTCTCTAATTCACCACTCTGTCTCCAATAACCCAGAACAGTTTGTAGCAATTAGTACGTGCTTCGTAGACATCTATATCCAGTGAATGGACTGCCCTGAGAAATGCAATCAGTCAGGAGAGAATTTTGTTTGAGAGGCATGGAAAAGTCAAGAAGACAATTATGGTGAATGTTGGAGTGGTAAGATTCTCCTAAATTTCCCTTGCTTCAGGTGTGGTGAATCTCAAGCCCTGAGAAACTACAACCCTTGTGCAAGGGGGCAAGTAAGGCGCACAGAGGAGGGCTGCCCGGGAGCAGATGAGAGAGGCTTGGCCACACCACATACAACATGGACACACATGCACACTCATACGCAAACACAGACATCCTGTATTAGCCCCTTGTGAAAGGGAAAGTTGGATTTAGGGCAAGGATCGAAGGTTTAAATACTTAAACATTCTTTTGGACAGCAAGCCAAAATCTCATGGGGATCAATGTACAAATAAAATGCTGAGGAGCGTCTAAAATAATATATATCACATTGTTCTGTTATATACATTACAGGTCACGTGAGGAAACTGAAACTCTCTGTAGCCCTGCCCAAATACAGGGAACCATTTAGGTCAGTTCAAAACGATGAGGGCTGGCGACCCTGACACCAGAATGAATTACTGCCGTGGTTCATCTGTTCCTTCTTGCCATTTTTAACAAGCACATTTTAATGGCCATTATTGTTTTATTCATGTTAGGTTTATCATTATTGCAGTTAACCTCACATTTACTTTGGCTCATATCCTTCTTTGAAAGTCTTTGACATTTCAGTTGGTTTTGATTTGTCTTTTTGGTCACACTCCATTAATAATAAGTTAAATCTGAATGGTGCTTTTCAGCTGACACATTTGCAGTATCATTTGTGCCCTTGAACAGCTCTGTGAGGGAGGCAGAGATTATAGTTTCTATTTTAAAGGTAAGGAGACTGAGGCTCAGTGGAGACAAGGGACTTGCCCAAGGTCATGGACGTGGAGAATGGCAGAGTTACAGCTCAGCTCCTGAACTTGTGGCTTCTTCTTCCCGTATGACAGGACACCCATCACTAAGCTGGCCTCACTGGCAAAGATCCAGGGTCCACACACATTATGTATGTTTATGTTCCTGTGTACCTAAGTGTGCAGACACACACAACCAGTTATCAAAGATAAAAGTTAAAAAAAAATCAAATAGTGCTCACAGCATTATTGTGTGCTCTAGCCTCAGAAAAAGAAAAAAGAGGCAGGAAAACTTACTACCACCATTTCTTCCCAGCAGGAATTCTGAGGCTGCTTTTTCCCGCCAGGTGTTTGTATAGCATTACATAAATCCAATGTTCTTTTGAGTGATTTGGGGAGAACCACCGCACCACTTTGACCACCAAAAAGATCCTCAGAGACAAGAGGGAAATGAGTAAGGATAAGTCAAGTGGTAAATTCTAACCAGGGCTCCTGTATAAACATTCAAGCTAAAACTGAACGAAGTTTATTCAAGTAAAGAACCAGAGAAACGGCAGACGGCCGACCAAAGGAGGCGGTTTTCAGGAGAGAAAGGCCAAGCCTATGAGAGGAAATAACTGTAGTAGAGCCGAGTCCCACTGGGCCTTTGGTATGCGGCTGGTCTTCTTCCAGGCATTTCGCCTCCTTCCCGTTTTCCAGGATTTCGTTAGATTGTCCTGGTTTGAAGAGTATTAAGTATAATCCAGCACATCCACTGAATTGATAGAAGGGTGAAGGACTAAGCATGTGAGCTTATTATCAAAGATGTCACCCCAAAGTTAGGCTTTAATAATTCAACTCATTAATCCCCAAAGGTAGAATTCAGTCCCAGACTACACACGACCAGATATTACCGTGCATTTCTAGTATGGATTACCAGGTCAGCTCTCAGGTGAGTGCCTTAGACACTGCTTGTTAGAGCCAGATGGGACTTAGAGAGCAACTGAGTCGGGTCTAACACATGAAGGAGTTGAAGGGATCTACTCAAATACACAAAACTAAGCTGAGAAAGAAGGTCTCAAGTTCCAATCTTCTGAGTGGAAAAAAAGGAATAGTGGTGCATAATTTGTGTCTTAAATGTGCATATTCATAGAATATCCCTGGGAAAATATGAGGGAAATGGGAAATGTTGTTGCTTCGAAGAGAAGGGATTTTAGATACTAAAGAATGGAAGTGGGAGGGAAATTTACTTTTCCCCCATATCCTTTGCTGCTCACCCATAGTTTACACATCTGTCACTCCTACTGGAAAAGTATAAGCTCCTTGAGCGCAGGACCCATGGACCATATTATGTTCATCTTTGTAATCCCTGAGCAGGTGCACCAATGGGTCTGGTAAGTACTCAATAAATCACTATTGAGTACTTACAACAAATAGATCATTATTGAAAACTTACAACAGATGTTCTTTTTCTATCTAAAATAAATTTGATTATTGAGTATAAATCAGTATTAATTGGCTCTTTCCAAATGGTTTATAACAATTAATCATTCTTATAAGGACATAAAGTAACCGCTTTCTATCTCTTCCCATTTAGAGTACACTTGAAACAATTCTTGAAGACTCTTCTGATTTATGAAATGGAGGAAGTTTTATAAATCTTATTTATGAAATAGAGAAAGTCCTATTTTCCTGACAGATGTTTGATTTTTCTTCCCAAAGGGGGAAAATGATAAGTTAGTATATTTAGAAAACTTATAATGCAATTAATTTCATAGTGGAGATTCTTATTAAATATCTTCTTAGGTGCTTTTTATTAACCAATTCTTCTGTAGCCTGTTCACTCTTGGCATTATTCTTGAATAGGATGTTGCAAAGTCAATGTACATTTTCTAAGAAGTGGAAAACTATGATCCACAATTAAGTAAGGCAGAAGCAAAGAAAACAGACTCTCAAGAGAATGGAAATTCAATTATTTGTAGACAGAAATTTATTCAAAGTTTTGCAGAAGACATTTATATTAAATATTGTGAGAAACCTGCACTTTCACTTGTTCTCTTTCACCTACCCCCTCTCTCCCCATCTCGCTCTATCTCCCTCCCTTCTTCCCTCCCTCTCCAGCATTATGATGACAGTCTACTTTGGATTCGGATTATGTCCTTTTATAGCATATAAGAGCCTTGTATGTGGTGTTAGTACCAGAGAGTAACTGAGCGGACTTTGATGTGTACCACACTTGCCCTCTAGTGGGGATCTGTGATCCATGCAGTTCCCTGGGCTGTTTGGTCGTCAGCCCTGGGCATTTCCAAATAGACGTTTTTTCAAGATGGTTTTTATAAACAGATAAGTCTCATTTATATTTATTTTATTAGTTGCTAATTTGCAAAGGATTCTGTTAAAAGGCTCAAAAACAGTTTATTCTTGTGAATACTTATACATCTTTATCTTATTTATACAACTAATTTGCTTTGTAAACTCCTTTCTTTCATAATACAAAGATAAACTTAATGGACCCAGATCCAATTAGCCAAATTCTAAACAAATGGCTTCATAGTATTTAATTAAAACAAGTAAATGGCATCCCTGTATGTGCTTAATTATCAGGGTGATTTTTTTGAATGACATTTTGGGACTGTCACATGAAGTACCTTTTTACCAATTCAGAAGAGTTTTTCAGTTTTTATTGTTGTTATTGTTTGCTCTTTCAACTTTACATTTGTTTTTGACCACACCAAATCAGCCAAAGGGCATGTGACATATGAAAAATTTCTGCCCCTGGCATAAAGACTATAAATTATTAACTGTTTCCATTTAGAATAGAATTTTGGCACTAGCTAACAAAGCCTGACTTGCCGCCAAGTTTGTTTCCTTTTGGAGAATCTATTCTGTTAGGATTAAATTTAGTGCAAATGTGTGGCACCCCAAATAACCTTGATTTAAAGAAGATAAATCTCTCTTGCATAAACAAATTCCAAACTTAAAGATTAATATATGGCGCCTCCAAGTTCAACCAAGGCTTAGATTTCTTCTAGTACGTTGCTCTACCATCCTCAACGCACAGCTTTCACTTCATGGTCCATGGTGTCTGGTCCATTTCCTGTCCAATATATCCACATTCCAGCCATCAGGAAGGAGGAAGAGAAAGAACATGCCCACTCCTCTTTAGGATCCTTCTAAATAATGGGAAGTTGTACCCGTTACAGCTACATCCAATTTGCCAGAACTTTGTCACATGGCCACATCTAGCTGAAATGTCTTCATTCTAGGCTTGCTCTGTTCCAGCAGAAATTCAGGGGTTGCAACACAATGAGAGAGGGCAGAATTTACATTCAGGGACAACTATCAGTCCGTCCCGTAGCTTACAATCCCACCAATTGCCTTCATTGGACAGAGCCTACGCTTGCCTGGTTTTCATCTCTTTGTTTTCTATTGAAAAGTAACATCTTCCTTTCCATTTGTCTTCTGCTCATGAAGTTCTGCTGATACAGACTCTGTTTCCTTTTCTTTTTCCTTCCTTCTTTCTCTCGGTAAACCCCGGTCACTTGCCTGCTGGTTTTCACCGCGTTGGTGCGTGCTTTCCTCCATAGGTGATGGCTGTGCCGCCGGCGCCTCTGCAGCTGCTGGGGGTGCTGCTCATCGTTTCCCTGGGCTCCGTCAGGCTCACCCAAGCTGGTGCCTACTATGGAATCAAGCCGCTGCCACCTCAAATCCCTCCTCAGATCCCACCGCAAATTCCACAGTACCAGCCCCTGGGCCAGCAAGTACCTCATATGCCCCTGGGCAAAGATGGCCTTAACGTGGGCAAGGAGCTGCCCCACATGCAGTACGGCAAGGAGTATCCACATCTACCCCAATATATGAAGGAAATTCAGCCGGCGCCAAGAATGGGCAAGGAAGCAGCACCTAAGAAAGGCAAAGGTAACGTCATACTCTGGTGTTGTTATAAAACAGCAGCTTTCCAAAATCCTAAACTATGAGATTGGGGTGGTGGTGCTAAACCTTATTTTATTTTAGCATGTGTGACTGACATTCATGAAATGCCTTCTGTATTCAAAACTCTATCCCTTAGTAGTGATGATTACCCAGTAATATGAATGTACTCCATGCCACTAAATTGTATGCTTAAAAATGATGGAAATGTTAAATTTTGTTATGTGTATTTCACCACAATAAAAAGATCAAAATAAAAAAATAATAAATTCAAGGGAGGTGGGTGTAGTTCTGTGGTAAAGTGCATGCTTAGCAAATGCATGAGGTCCTGGGTTTAATCCCCAGTACCTCCATTAAAAAGAAAAAAGAAAAAAATACTTAAAAAAAACTCTACCCTTGAAAAGTTCAAGTCTTAAAGAAAACTATAATTTGAAAAGACACATGTACCCCAATGTTCATAGCAACACTATTCACAACAGCCAAGACATGGAAATAAACTAAATGTCCATCAGCAGATGACTGGATAAAGAATATGTAGTATATATATACAATGGAATATTACTCAGCCATATAAAGAATGAAATAATGCCATGTGCAACAACATGGATGGACTTAGAGATTATTTATTAAGTGAAGTAAGTCAGACAGAGAAAGACAAATATCATATGATATCACTAATATATGGAATAAAAAAAATCCTATTTACAACCCAAAACCAGACTCACAGACATAGAGAACAAACTATGGTTACCAAAGGGGAACGGGCAGGATGGGATAAATTAAGGGTTGGGGATTAACAGACACATATTACTATATATAAAATAAACAACAAGGACCTACTGTATTGCACAGGGAACTATATTCAATTTCTTATAATAACATAATGGAAAAGAATCTGAAAAGGCAAAAATATATATGTATAACTGAATCATGCTGTACACCGGAAACTATCATTGTAAATTGACTACATTTCAATAAAAAATTAGAATTTAAAAAATAAAAATAGAAAACATTAATTAAATGTAAAATTTTTTAAAAAGAAAATCATATGAAAGCATTTTGCAAACTAGATGCCAGATAAATGTTTTTAAGTCTGTTCTAATTGAATTGCTATATATGTCTCTCAATAATTGACAGAGGAACCTGTAGAGTACAGGCTGCATCTGGAGATGGTACCTGAAACTCCCTCCATTACTTTCTAGGCATATTCATCAGTTATTCAACACCTGCAAAGTGCCTATCACTGTGAGAGGCACTTTCTTAAAAATTCAGTTGGTTTATCTGGCATTCTAGGAAACCCAGCATTTGTAGGAAAGGAATTGCATCAGAGTAGCAATCCCGCTGAGGACATGGAAATCATTCCCACTGATTCTGGCAAAAGGAGGAAGCTCTACTTCTGGGGAACTACTGGGTTTGGTGCTAAGAGGCCTGGATGCCTACAGGCCAAAAGTGAGAGACACCTAGCCATTTAACCTCTCTGAAAGTATATTTCTTCATCTATAAAGTAAGATAATTGAGAGAATCAATGATGTAAGGGAAGTAGAAGTACTAAATAAATGCTATAGCACCATAAGAACTTTGAGTTGCTACAGCTGGTCATTCAGCAAACCCTAGGTAAGAACAGAGTATCCTCCAGGCACATGCTAGACACCAGGATTCCTGCTGAATAAGATGTGACCCTGCCAGATGCTCTCTTGATATAGGAGCTACAAAATTCCTGCTTAGAAACAGCACACCTTAATAGTACCATAGAATACCTATTAGCATAAAAGAAGTATTCACAGTTTCCTTCTCCTTAGCAGGTGATATTCCACTTAAGGGATTATCTTGGCCATTTGTTTTCCTTCCTTTCTTTCTTTCTTTCTTTTTTTTTTGAACATTTTTTTTTATTGAGTAATAGTCATTTTACAATGTTGTGTCAAATTTCAGTGTAGAGCACAATTTTTCAGTTATACATGAACCTTCCTTTCTTGAATGGCCTGCCTGGCTTTTGGCAATTCCTGTATTTATTCAGATGGGTACCAGATTGCAATTGGGGAATTTGGAAAAAATGAATTCTATGGCTCTATTCTGTTCTCTAACAGTAGCTCAGTGAAAGATACAATGGTCAGGATTAAGAGGCAATTGCTGGTTAAAATAAGACTTTGGGACCATAGATTTTATTGCTTTATGTCATTCATTACTCCCAGTAGCATGGAAGATCCAGAGCTGTATTTCTCTGCAAGGCACAGCATAATCATTACAATAACATGTGCTTTGTATTTTAATAACCGTTCAAGAAAGCATAAGGCCTTTCACATCTATTATCTAATCTTGTAGTGTGGGTGTATTATTTTTGCTGTACAGATAGGCAAGCAGAGACACTGAAGGTGACCCACTCAAGTGAGACATTTAATTGACCAGTCAAGATCTCATTTCAAAGCAGGAAGAGAAGTTGAGCTTCCTGCTCCTAATCCCAGCTCAATTTCTTATCCATACTGCTTATCACCCTAAAATATCTTATTCACATCTCCTATTTGAAAAACCGAATTTGTAAATGAGAAATAACCTATTAAAGAATTAATATTTGAGGCTTAGGAAATCCTACAGTTTATTAAAGAAATAAAGTCATCTATTTGACTCTAGAGGACAGATGTAGAAGATGTTATAAAGCCACATACAAAATAAAATGCTTCTGTTCTTCCCTGAATCCACATGATAATGACCTTCATCCTCTACATCACATTGTATTTCAGCACAAGAGGAAATATTTAGTCATAAATTATATTTAGAAAATCAAGGACATGGAAAATGCAGTCTAACATTAAAAATAGAAAAAATAAAAATGAATAATGACTCCAACATTGTTTAAAATACACACACTATATATTTTTCATTTTTAGTATATATTATATATATATGTGTGTGTGTATAACATATATATACCTAGAACACATGAGATGGAAATACATATAAATGTTAAGCTATTATCTCTGAGTAGTGGGTTTATAGGCAACTTTGACTTTTCTTTATCCTTTTTTGAATTCTTTATAGTGAACATACCACATTATCTCCAAGTTTTGTATTAGGGAAAAATGTTTATTACTTTTTAGCTCTTTTACTTAACCAGCACTGATAGAAACAGCCACAGATACTAGTTCTCAAAACAGTATCTCAAATATGATGAAGAAATTACCAGCTGATTGTCCACGAAGTACTGATAACAGACAGTCCTGAAACCTGAACACATCATTCCTAGTCTTTCCTCTCGATAAGTGATAGACAAATGTGTCAGAACTAAATAATGATTGAAATGAAGTGAAATACAATCAGTATTAATCTCTCTCCCTCTCTCTTTTCCTCTCTTCCTGCCTCCCTCTTTCTCTCTCTCCTGTTTCCCAGTAGAAATACCATTAGCCAGTTTACGAGGGGAGCAAGGTCCCCGTGGAGAGCCTGGCCCAAGAGGACCACCTGGGCCCCCTGGTTTACCAGGTCATGGGATACCTGGAATCAAAGGAAAACCAGGGCCACAGGGATATCCAGGAATTGGAAAGCCAGGTATGCCTGGAATGCCAGGAAAGCCAGGAGCCATGGGAATGCCTGGGGCAAAAGGCGAAATTGGACCCAAAGGGGAGATTGGGCCTATGGGGATCCCAGGACCGCAAGGACCTCCGGGGCCTCACGGACTTCCTGGTATTGGGAAGCCAGGTGGGCCAGGGTTACCAGGACAACCAGGTGCCAAGGGTGAGCGAGGACCCAAAGGACCACCAGGACCTCCAGGCCTTCAGGGTCCTAAAGGAGAGAAGGGCTTCGGGATGCCAGGTTTGCCAGGCCTGAAGGGTCCTCCAGGGATGCACGGCCCTCCTGGCCCTGTCGGACTTCCAGGAGTGGGCAAACCAGGAGTGACAGGCTTCCCTGGGCCCCAGGGCCCCCTGGGAAAGCCAGGCCCTCCAGGCGAACCTGGGCCACAAGGCCCTATTGGGGTCCCAGGAGTTCAAGGACCTCCTGGGATGCCCGGAGTTGGAAAACCAGGCCAGGACGGGATCCCAGGCCAGCCAGGATTTCCAGGTGGCAAAGGGGAGCAAGGACTGCCAGGGCTGCCAGGACCCCCAGGCCTTCCAGGGATCGGGAAACCAGGCTTCCCAGGACCCAAAGGTGACAGGGGTGTAGGGGGTGTTCCTGGGGCTCTGGGGCCAAGAGGAGAGAAAGGACCAGTAGGTGCCCCCGGAATGGGGGGTCCTCCAGGAGAGCCAGGCCTGCCTGGAATCCCAGGTCCCATGGGCCCTCCAGGTGCAATTGGTTTTCCAGGACCCAAAGGAGAAGGTGGGATTGTGGGGCCACAGGGACCACCAGGTCCCAAGGGTGAGCCAGGGCTTCAAGGCTTCCCAGGAAAGCCAGGTTTCCTTGGTGAAGTGGGGCCCCCGGGCATGAGGGGTTTGCCAGGTCCCATAGGGCCCAAGGGGGAAGCTGGGCACAAAGGTTTGCCAGGGCTCCCCGGTGCCCCAGGGCTGCTTGGACCGAAGGGAGAACCAGGAATCCCGGGGGATCAGGGTTTGCAGGGCCCTCCAGGCATCCCAGGGATTGCAGGACCGAGTGGTCCCATTGGACCACCTGGAATTCCAGGCCCCAAAGGGGAACCGGGCCTCCCAGGCCCTCCTGGGTTCCCTGGAGTAGGGAAGCCTGGAGTAGCAGGACTACATGGCCCCCCAGGGAAGCCTGGTGCCCTTGGTCCCCAAGGCCAGCCTGGCCTTCCAGGGCCCCCAGGCCCTCCCGGCCCCCCAGGTCCCCCAGCTGTGATGCCCCCAACACCACCACCCCATGGAGAGTATCTGCCTGATATGGGGCTGGGAATTGATGGAGTGAAACCCCCCCACGCCTATGGTGCTAAGAAAGGCAAGAACGGAGGGCCAGCCTATGAGATGCCTGCATTTACTGCTGAGCTGACTGCACCTTTCCCACCTGTGGGGGCCCCCGTGAAGTTTGACAAACTGCTCTATAACGGCAGACAGAACTACAACCCACAGACGGGCATCTTCACCTGCGAGGTCCCCGGGGTCTACTACTTTGCATACCATGTTCACTGCAAGGGGGGCAACGTGTGGGTTGCTCTGTTCAAGAACAACGAGCCCATGATGTACACGTACGATGAGTACAAGAAGGGCTTTCTGGACCAGGCGTCCGGGAGTGCGGTGCTGCTGCTTCGGCCCGGAGACCGCGTGTTCCTCCAGATGCCCTCTGAACAGGCTGCGGGACTGTATGCTGGGCAGTACGTCCATTCCTCTTTTTCAGGATATTTATTGTATCCCATGTAAAAAAGAAAAAAGAGAGAGATATAATAGAAGAAAAGAAAATGATGCACCAAAACATCCAAATGAAAAACGTAATTGCTTCAAAACATTTATATAGTTGGAAAGTTATATTTAAGTGAAAATTTGAACCATCATGTACAAATAAAAACTAAGATGCATGTTTAGTGCTCTGCACAGCAGCTTGTCATTGAAAATGATGGGATAGATTTTATGTATCAAGTACTGACACTTGTGTTGTACCCACTGGAAACATATTAGCTGTTGTATGTTATGTGCTTCCATGATAACCTGCTTATTCAGATCAAAGTATTTCAGTATGAAAGATTATAGCTAATGAAAGTCACTCACTCATATTGTTTACTTCAAAATATTTATAAATATGGCTTAAAGAAATGTCAATAATAACAATTACATACCGTATTTACTTGCATAATTTCCTCTGTATTTGTCCAGATATTTTGTCACAGAATGTGGGGAGGAGTTCTGCAGTGTTACCCACCCCCCCAGTAAGAGGGGGACCAGGATCCAGGAACCAGGGTAGGGCTTTAGTCCAAGGCAAATTTCTCCCCCGTCTGAGGCTGTGTCTTTTAGCAACGAGTCCTATTCACAATTGCGTGTCTGGTGTCCCTAGAAGAACAAGAGAACCAATCAACTGTAGTGTATTTACTAGTGCTTTCTCTCTGACTAGAACTGGAGAGACACTTCTGTGGGACCTAAGACAGTGCTCCTAAAGGAGCTAGCAAATCAGCTGGGAGGCATGAGCAATAATTAACTGATTTATTCCTCAAGGGTTCTTTTTGCTTGTTTTTTTTTCCTGTGATTTTTATTTTTTCTTCTTCCCTCCATGTAATTTCAATTATGGCCCAACTAATATAAACACCTGGAAGTCATAAGAAAAAAATTACCCTCTCCCCCTATAACTTTCCAGTTTTGTGGAATGTTCACTATCAATAGCAGTTATTGTATTTATATGCATATAATGCTCCCCTTCCTTTGCCTACACACTCAAATGATGATGATGAGGTTTCATCCATGAAGGGGATATCAATGCTTCTTAGTAGCCGTTGAACTTTGAAGAAATTTCCCTGTATAGTACCTATGCCAATCAGTGTGTTGTCTGATGTTCCAAAGTGAACTTCCCAAATCCAAGCCATCCTTTATTTGGGGAAGGGCAAGGGGGAGTTTCAGAATTACATAGAAAAATAATTTTATTTTGAAAAATAATTTCTGAAGTTTTAAATTAAAAAATAGATGTACTATTTCCTGCTGTAGGTACTAAAATTGCAGGAAAAGAATTGTTTCTTTAGAAGTAACCTGTGGAAGAGCTATCTGGAATGTCAAAGGGCAATGACGGCCCATGCTTTTTATGTCACCCTGTACTAAGTATAGGAGACAATACAAGTTTAAAGTGAAAAACAAATATTTTTCCAGGTTTTCACTTAAGTATATACTAACTGCTTCACACATTCAAATCTGGTCTCAGAAACGAAGCATCTCAGGCTGGCTAAGAGTCTGCTGCTGACGCTGTAAGCCACTGAGGGGAAATAATGTGGGGCTTTGGTGGTGGAATCTTGTATCTCTTTCTAAAAATTAAGAGTGAGGAAATGAGGGGATAGGTACAGATGGGAAAATACACAAATAAATACGGTATAAACACACATGGAATTGTGTCTATGTTAAATCTGAATCATTTTTAAGCAACAAGAAAATTCTCCTCAGCCTAATATCTCTTTTTCCCGTATGGTATACCAGCGCCATTACGTCTCCACTTCTTAAACAGAGAAATTAGTTTATCACCACACAGTTTCTTCATGGCTAACTCTATGTCAAGCTTTTCCCAGTAAAAAGATGTCCCACCAAACCTTCGTTTTCAAAGTAGACAGCATGGATGTAGTCAAATATCCTTTGGGTTGGTCTTAAGGATGCTGGTTTAGGACTGATGACTACGGGGTCACATGGATCCACTGGGCTCTGACTGCTGAATAGCTGCATTGAAATGGCTTGGAAGCAAGTCAGATCAGCTGATTTGTAAAACTGTATTTATCTGTACATGTATGGGCTTTTTATTTCCACCAAGAGAGAAAGTACCTCTTGAGTTAAAAACCAAACTTCACTTTCAAATACCTTCCAACTTATTTATTAGTTGTTACTCAATTGCCTTTGTGTGTGTGTGCGTGCGTGTATTATCAGGCATATGCTTCTAACTTTTAGATAGGGGAGGAGCAAAATATATGCCAGATTCTGTGTATTCTACAATGGTGCTAATCTCAGAGCTAAATGAATTACTCCATTTAATTTAAAAAAGAGTTTTAAATAATTATGTATCTGTGTTGCCCTTTTGAGTGTTGCACATCATGTTAACACATTTAGTGTAAAAGCAGATGAAACAATCACATGTTCTAAAGCCTAGGGATACTGCTACAATCCCTATTTTATTCAAAATTAACTAGAACTTTTCCATGTGAAACGGACCAAACTGGCAATATTGTTATTTAAATACAGAGTTTTAATGCAGTATGACATCCCACAGGGGAAAAGAATGTCCATAGTGGGTGACTGTTCTCAAATATTTCACAGAATACCAAGAACAGTGAACAGACTGGTAACTTTTTTGAGTTTCCATGATAGATTTGAGACTTGTCAATAGCAAATCATTTTTGTATTTAAATATTTGTACTGATTTGGGAAAAAAGTCTTATTAAATACCTTTAAAAGTATGTTTCTCATCTTGTTCATATCACTCAGCTAACTCTGTTTGAACGTCATAACTTTTTATCCCCCAAGGTGTTTATTAGCTGCTAAAACAGAGACCTAAATCCCAGCTTAACCAGAACGAGTATTGATCTTTGACATACCAGCTTCAAGCATAAACAGGCTAGATTTCATTTGGTAGCTTCAGCCAGGGCCACAGGTACCTTCTATTTTGTTGCTTTTTCACCCTGAGGTGTGGCTCTCATCTCCAAGGTCCAGGATAGCTAACCATCACAGCCACATTCCAGCCAGTGGGAAGGAGAAAAAAATCAGGAAACGGAGAGCATGATTCCTTCTTAAAGGAATCAACACAGCGGTTGCTTGGGCCTCCCACATCCCATGCTGCGAATTTAGTCACATTGCTACCGCCACCTGCAAGGGAGTATGGGAAACTGAATATTTATTCAGGGCAACCACATGTCCAGTTAAAAATCAGAGATTCTATTAATACGGGAGAAGAGAGAACAGATATTAGGGAACAATTAGCTGCTGCATCTGTCACATCCATCCTGAAAGGAAAAACTGCCACAGATCTCTTTTCTCCCACAAGAAACCCATCTTCAAATACTCAATTTTATCATACTTTGCCACACCAGAGACAAATATTTTGAGGGGAGGTAATGGTGACTGGAGCTATAGAGCAGAAGCAGATCCATTTCAAGAACCTAAGGGTCTTAATAAGTATCACTGATAAGGAAAGAATTCTTTCATGGTAACTTATCAAGCTCAGAGTGATTATAATTTATGTCTAGGATATTATAAAGAAGTTATTCAAATCATTCGACAAGCAAGTCTGCAGCACTAGTCTGTGACAGCTTAACTCACTTGTTTAAACCATCAATCTGGTCTTTTGTTGTGGAAGTGTAGTTGATTTACAATGTTAGTTTCAGGTGTACAGCAAAGCAATTCAGTTATATATAAACATACATACAAATTTTTTCAGATGTTTTCCATTATATGTTATTACGAGAAACTGAATATAGTTCCCTATGCTATACAGTACATCTTTATTGTTTATCTATTTTATATATAGTAATGTTAAACCAACAATCTGGAAGCTCAAAACCACAGAAATTCCATTCCCACATAGCACAACTAGTTCTATTTCATTCCATAGCCAAAGACTTTTCCATAGCATGGATCAGTCATCTCGTGTGCACACACTGTAGGTCACAAAAGTAAATGGAAAGAGAGATACAGGAGACAGAGGCAAGAAGGAATAAGTGGTTGGAATTTGGAATGCTGGACGAGTGGGGCAAATCCATCATTATAATGGGTCTATAGAGTCCCTTAAAGGTAAAACAAAAGACAAAGTAGCCCCTACTTTGCACTTGATATTATTAGACAACGTGAGGGATACAAAAGCAACAGAAAATATGATCATTCTGTTTTAAAATGTCTTCTGTTTGGAAGACATCAAGATGTTTGTTAAACAAACTGATTTCCAGGTGATACACAAACAAGGGTGGTGTGATGCTGACTGGCTGCATTCGTGCTAGTGAAGTTCAGAAAGAGAAAGACCAAGCCGTGCCACTCCCTTCCTGGGAAGGCCTCCTCTGACCTGTCTGCCGGAGAATTCCTCCTCAGCCCTCAGGACACAGCACAAGCATCACCCCCTCTTCTCTATTGCTCAGATTTAGTCACCATCCTGCCTTGTACAATCTCCCGTCCCTTCACTTTTCCTGCTTTGCAACTGTACTGTTTGTCTCTCCTATTAGAGAGGGTGTAAAGATTCTTGAGAACAGGCACCTCGTTGTTCTATCTTTGCACCCACAGCTCATTGCAGAGTGCTGGTCCAGGCTGTAGGGAAGAATGAATCTCTCAAGGCTGCTGTGGGAGGTAGTGTTAAACTCGATGTGAGGTGGGACTAAATCCAGATCTGAGATTACAAGATTATACAGAAGATTATATATTCCAAGATTACTTAGAAGTCTACTGTGGGATGAAACAATCTCAGATAAGGTTTTTTGGACATGACATTTAAAGACATCATCTTCAGTTGGATAGAATTTGGATGAATGAAACACAGGGCATCCCAAGAGGAATAGCCCTCTTCCTCTAATAGAGGAGGAAACTGACATTGTGTGTGTGTATGCATGTGTGTGTCTGGGGGGAAGGAGGCTGGGATAAGAGAAATGGCCTGACTAGATCAGAAGAGCTACTCAAGGATCAGTAAAGGAAATGGACTTAATAACCAAAGAAGGGTCAAGTGATATAAGGCTTTACATATAGGAAAGATATTTATATTTTATCTAATATGCAATAAGAAAACATTTTAGGTCATTAAGTGGGAAAATTACATGAAAATAAGTATTTTAGAAAAATTACTTTGATGATTCTATGGAGAAGGTAAGATACAAGTAGCAAAACCAGTGAGGAGCTCAGAACAGCTTCAGACAAGAGTGGGATGATGGGTTGATGGTTAAGGGGGCCGAACCAATCTCAAAGTGAGAGTCAGACGTCAGAGTTTAAGGCCTACATAACAATGGAGCTACTTCAAGGGCTAGCAAATGGAATGAAGAAGAAGGGAGAACTGAAGAGACAGTTGAAAGACTAATCTGAACCTGGGGACAATCCCAGAATGGCCTTATGAGGGAGAAGGAAGCTTGACTCAAAGGTAGTTTCCTCTCACTGATACACTTGGAAAACAGGGATGGTACCACTGACAGAATTAGTCTACCCGCGAGCCTGCTTCAGGCAGGGAAAGAAGAGGATGCTCAGTTTACGTACAGACTCATGGGATTTACCTGACAGCAGGAGATGCCTGTGCCCCAGATGTGCATTTGCTAGAAAGGTGAAAGGTGGAGCCATGAGCCTGGAGAGAGACCTAGTGGCCTGTTGTAATAAGAGAGAGAAAAGACTCACTTGAAATCAGTAGCACCATTTGCAGACACAAATGATTAAATTGCTTTAAAATGTCTTCCCTTACTTGCTGTAGGAATTTATTTAACAAATCCTTTCGTCATAGATACAGCAAAGGGAAATGTCATCTCAATTCATACGGAATTACAATGAATTCCAAATACACAGGGCTGATCAAGAGTGTAAATCAATCACGTTCTACTGTATTTCAGAAAAATTTTTCTCTTTAATGGTCCTTATGTCTCTAAAATTGCAAATGTTCGTGCTCATTTCGTATCACAGAAAAGAAAAATACCTATGGAGTAGCGTTAGAGTATCTTTCTTCTAGCAAAGATTTACACAGAATTTCTGAAGCTTTCATTTTCAAAACCAATATTCGTATCAGGATAAATTTTCTGCTCAAATTATTCTTTATGATGTCAAATAGCTGTTAATAATTTTTATTGTTAGAAACTTTTTTTGCTACTTCCTAGAGATAAGGGCAATGAAATTTAAATTTAAAAAGTGGGTCACATCATCCCATTTTAACCATCCATCCTGTTTTAACAAATTATTCAGAAGTTTCTCATGTGTGTTACTGAAACACAGAACCATCCAATTGAATTTTCCTTTGAGGCATCCAGAACCTTTCCAGAGGGTTTTTTTTCCCCTTTGCTACTTTAATACAAGTAAAAATAGATTTTTATTAGATTCAAAAGCACTTCTAAATTAAAGTTTATGATTCTTGTGGAGACCTACAATTCACATACTTTGTTGAAACCACCAAGGCCTAAAAATTAATTTTATAATGATCACGGCCAAGTCAGTTCTCATCTGACAAGTGAGTGGCTGGCAGCAGCATTCACATCTGCTCTTCATTTGTGGGGTGAGAGACAAGAAGCGGAAGGCCGCTGGAATGCTTACCAGGCTCCAACTGGCCGCTACTAGTAGCTGCCTTTCTTCACCAAGGACAATGCCGTTCTTGTCATTTGTTCTGCCAGACCAGAGTCACCAACATAGAACAAGTTAGGAGAGGGTTCTGGGGCCAGACTCAGAACAAATCTTGGCTCCTCTGTTTAGAAGCTGTGATATCTTGAGTCAATTATTTAACGTCACTAAACTTCAGCATTTGCACCTGTAAAACAGTAGGTAATAACGGCACTTAGGAGGGTGCATGAAGTTGTCGGTAACAACTGCTACAGTTTACTGGGTGACAATCCTGGGCCAGAAATGATTGAAATAATTTTACGTATTAACTTACTTACTCCTTATAATACCTCTATTATTAGCCCCATTTTACAGCTGAAGAAACTGAAGCAAAGTAACTTGTCCAAGATCTAATAAATGACAATGCCAAGGTTTTAACTCAAGCGTCTGGCTCCACAGTCCATGCTCTGAGGTATCATGTCATATTGCTTAAAGGCAGGAGATACAATTGTCAGTTGCCTAAGAAGCAAACAACTGCCAGTGAGGGTTTAGAATATTAGCTTGCCTCAAAAGAAAGAGATGACCTCAGTTATTTCTTAGTCCTGACCAGAGACAACAGAGACAGACGCCACCAGAAGACTGTATATTGACAGATGTCATGGTGACATCCTGACCCCTTAGAAGATATGAGGGCAGCTGGCTTTAAAAACTAAAGGGAACACCTCACAACTATTATGAAACAAGACAAAACAACACAAAAAATAAGTGTTGGTGAGGATACGGAGAAATTGGAACCCTTGTGCACTGCTGGTGGAAAAAGTGAAATTGGGCAGCAGCTATGGAAAACTGTATGGAGGTTCCCCCAAAAATGAAAAATAGAATTACCATATGACCCAACATTTCCAGTTCTGGGTATATACCCCAAAGAACTAAAAGCAGAGACTCAAATAGATATTTGTACATTCATATTCATAGCTGCATTATTCACAATATCTAAAAAGTGGAAGCAACCCAAATGTCCTTTGATGAATGAATGGATAAACAAAATGTGGTATATACATACAGTGGAATATTACTCAGCCTTAAAAGGAAGGAAATTATGATACATGCAACATCACAGATTATCCTGGAGGGCAGGATGCTAAGAGAAATAAGCCAATGATGAAAGGACAAATATTGCATGTTCCACTGATATGAG